TAGGAGCAAATAGCAGCGTTAATTCGCAAGGACGGTCCAGGATTTCAGATTGTTTTTATTTTTAGGGGTGATTTACAATTTACAATTTACAATGCAATTTACAAAAATTTATATGCAAATTTATCAAGCGCTATAATCATATTTCATGAGGGACAGAACGGTTCAGTGGTTTGTTGCTCAATTCAAAGCATCGGTGCTGAGCATCCCCGCAGGAGTAAACCTGTCCATAAATAAGTGTTGTGCAGGCGACTCATCTGCACTCCTATCGCTAGCTCCCTCGCATATTTGTGGAGTGCAAAAAGCAGCAGAATGAGTTTAACCAGTAATGGCGAGGACCCTTTAAAGAAAGATCTTTCTTCATGAACCACAATCAATCGAATCGGTTGTTTTCAATTTCTTCGTTTCACAGTAAAGTTTTTTTGTTTGTAATTTGTGGATGAACTGGCTGATAAACTGTTAAATGTTATCAATGATCTATTAAACTTTTATAAATTTCGTATAACTCAAAATTGATCGAAAATTGCAGATTTTTTAAAGTTAATTATTATGCAGCGAGAATGGCATCGCTTATTTTTGCTTTTTAATTATTAATTCAGCGAATTTTGCACGATTTTACAAATGCATTGGATAATTTTATTTTACAATAATATAAATAAAACAAAAAAAAACCCAAAGAAACAACGGAAAAAATTAAAAAGGAAAAATAGAATGATTAAAAAGCGCAAAAAAAAGCAAAAATTAATGAGTTGTAGCGCTTGGACGAAAGCCTTAATTACACCTAAAAATCCCAAAAATTTCTCATTTCAACATTAGTTCCGCGATTAATTTACGTGCATAAGCGGCAAGTTCTTCTGCATTGTTGGCTCATAACGGTCGAATATGGCGGCACATTGCAATAAGATGACATTTGCGCGCAGTTAGCTCGAATGTCCGTGCACGACGACGATCCCGCTGCTCCCGTTGTTGCTAAATTTGAATATTGTATCATAACAAATTTCCCAGTAAATAATAGAATAAAAATGTCAAGTGTAATTGCTAGTTAAAAATACCTTTTTAAAATAAAAAAAATTTAATGACGTAAACAAAATTGAAAGAATAAAAAATTTACATATGCAAGTCG